TGAGGCTGGGCCTCTCCTGGGAGATGTCATGAAGGCTTGCATTTGTGCTGGGGTTTTCGTAATCTTGCAAGGTAACATCAACATGTTTACTGAGAATTAAATTAAGGAAAAATAAACTACTGATGAACTACAAATTGATTTTAATTAAGTTAATGGCAAAGTTTCATTTCTATTCCATGAAGTCTTTTTGTCCCTTCAAACAGTTACTTTTATGTTTTATTTTAGAATGTAGACCCCTTCCTTACTTTCAACCATCTTTTCAACATTCCTGCTAAAATATAAAGGCCCATCTTTCACCTGTGTCCTGTTGAGTAGTTATTTCAACATTTCCTGTATATTGTTATTATTATGCTACACCAAACAAATCAAAGCAACATAGTTCAGATCCCTAGTACAGTTTCTGACCCACCCCCTTTTTTTTAGTTGTAGATGGACAAATACCTTTATTTTGTTTACTTATATGTGGTGCTGAGGATCGGGCCCAGTGCCTTACATGTGAGGCAAGTGCTCTACCACTGAGAGCAGCCCCAGAGCTTCTGACCTTTGTGAACAAAGATAGGCTACTTATCTACAGGCTCAACTACATACAGTGCATTCAACTCATTGGAACAATAATAGCAGACTTTTTCTTTGCGGATGTTAGCTTAGGTTTCCTCTATATTGCATATGTTGAAATTCTTTTTAGATGACTATAGTAAAAAATGCATTTCCTTCCACTACCAGCACCAAAATCATCGAAGAACATCACACATTCCTTTTCCTGACAAGGCCTTTGGCTTTTCCCCTATGCCTTTTGAGAGTCTGCCATTACTTTTAGATTAAGAACACAGAGCCTTTCTGTGCCCATAAATGTTTTAATGCTTCATTTCTAGAGATGGGTTATGTGGGGAGATCCAGGAGGTTGTTCTTTTCTGAGAAGTAAAATATTTCCCCATGAGAAGGAACATTTCCAAAGGACAAGGAAAGCCTGGTAAATGTATTTGATTTTCTCAAAAGCATTCATTCTTTTCACATGGAGGCACAGTTTGCTTCCCAAAACCTATTACCCCATTGCCGGCCATTTTCATGCCAATGTCAACTCATGGACCTTTCAGTCTCTGCCACTCCAGTGCAGCTGTTCTATCTCCACCACCACCATGCACTCTCTTCTTCTTTTTAACTATTACAAGGAAGTCATTCACCTCTTTCTCTCCTTCTCCATCTCTCTTTCTTTCCCTCCCTCCCAGTCTGTACCTGAGATATGGATGCTCTAACTTTCCTCTTAGCAACCTGGTTGATCCCAGAGTTCAACCTATTGTTTTTACCATAAGGACCTTGCATTAAGGCCTAGGATGGATGAGGAATGGCTGGGTTAGGAAGCAATAATCAAATCACTGAGCACAGAGAGGGGATGAAACATTTTGTTTCCAGGAGATACTTTTAGTTTCTTTGTTGTTTGCTTTTTGGTTTTGTCTCATTTCAGGTAACTTATAATTTTCAAATGTATATATTCGTAAAGTTTGCTCTGAATTTTCATGATAGCCCAAAACACGTGAGCTCTTAAATACCTTCAACTCTTCTTTCCACAGCTTTTGCCTTGCTTCCGACAGCTTTTCCAAAGTAACTGGGAAATGAGTGTGTTTTTTAAAACATTCTACGTAAAAGCTCTTCTTCTAAATAGTAGTTACTAGTATAAGGAGCACTAAAAGGAGTTACCAGTACAAAGAGCATGAAAGAAGTTGATTCTTACATTTAAAAAAATCTTCCATCTCAAATCCTTTTTAAGAAGGTGAGACACTGAAACAAGAACACAAAACAATTCTATAGGCCCGTATTTCCCATACTTTAGTGAGCATCTGAATCACCTTAGTGCCCTGGGCCCCACCTGCAGAGATTCTGATCCAGGTGCTGCTGATACTACTAGTCCTTGGACCACCCTGAGTATCTTCTCCAAAGGACATATTCTCTAGCTATCCCTGCACTGCTTCTCCATGTGTTACCCCAATGTGAAGAGCAGCTTGCTGTCAGGCAATAGTATAGAGTGATACATAGACAGAGGGACAGGTGGGTAGAGGGAAAGAGAATTAGAGAGAGTGATAGAGAGATAATAGATAATAAATAGATATCAAATATGAAGGAGCTTAAATAATGCAGTTTAAAAATTCTGTCTTTAAAATTAATAAAGGTTTAAAACATAGCATATGCATTTTAATAACTATGAGTACAAAATACGTGTTATAACTAAACTACCCTCCCAGACTATACCTAAGCTCCCACTCTGCAGAAACAGCCACACTTAAGTATCTTGTACTAAACATTTTGAAAGAAGTTGAGATTTTCCCTCCAAATATCATAGGCCAGTCTACACTCCCATTTACTATTATACAAATGATTTTTTTCTCCATATTTCGACAGTATCAAAATTTCCAACTTTTTGTCTGTCAATCTGATATGTGAAAAACAATTTCTAATTTTTATTTTAGCTTCTGTTGTCTATAATTATGAGAGTTAAACAACTTTGAGTAGTAAGACTATGGACAAGCTATTAACTTAGGGCAGATAAATGGCAGATGATAGCTGCCTGTTCTTGAACCTGGCTTCAAAAAGTGCTTCACTTCTTTTTGAATGAAAAGAAATGCCTAGAGTCTTCCCATTGTTCACCCACAACCATTTCCCCTGGGACATTCATTTTCTATGGCACTTCTATGGGAAATAAAGGGTGCAATGTATGTTTGTTTGTGGTATTTTGTACAGAAAATGATACAGTTCCAAACCCAAGCTTTGCCTATGGTAAATGACAACTTCTAGTCAAACAGAGGCTATAGGAGCTTAAAGAAAATCTCAACTGTGGTGCATATATCAAAGCTGAATTATTTAAGGCCAAATTTTCTGTAGCTTGTTTACTGGTATTCACTTGAAAGAAACACACACACACACACACACACACCCCTAAGACTGCTTTTTGAAATCAAATACATTTCCTGCCTTCTTCATTCCTCAGTACTCTTACGACCAGTCTATTTATAGCCCAGGAAAGGAAAAAGCTCCACTGGAGGCAGGAAAACTAAGTTCGGAAAGAATAGGAGGAAGTGTGCCTGCCATTTAGCTAAACAACCTTTTATTCATTGAGCTCAAAGCTTAGCAGCTTCACTGTGGTTGTTAGGCGTAAACAGCTTGCAAATTTCCATTTTTTTTTCCTCTTCACTTTTGAACTGGATTTGGGCAATGGAGGTGATGACAACATTTTAGAAAAGAGAATAGGAATCTCCAGGTGTTTGGGCACATTGAAGAGAAATTTGCAAGAAGATGGGGAATAGGAAAAAGATGATTCGACAGTGGGATGAACTTTAAATGAGTGCACGTCTGCAAATTAAGGTAAGTGTCATTTTTAAGTCTGGTCAGTTTGTGTGTCTTCATGCATTTTGAGAACCACATATTTTAACCACAGAGGGTATTTATACTTTGAGGGCAAATCCTCATGTAACTTTTCAATGAGTTTTGCTTATAGCTCTGAAGAAATGTAGCAATCAGCCTCAGTGACAACATCTTCAGTTTCTAACAACAAATGTTTCAAAATAGTTGTTTAAGGTACCTTTATTGCCACTAACTTTCTTCAATTTCAACATTATTAGGGGATTACATAGCATAATTTCACTGATGACCACTTTTTTTTTTTTTTTTTTGGTGTTGAGGATTGAACCCATGGTCTTATGCATGCAACGGAAGCCCTCTACCAACTGAGCTATATCCCCAGCCCCTGATGATCACTTTTGAAAAAATATTTTCTTGATATTTGTGCTTTCTAAAGTGCTGGTCAATAATCCATCTGCCGTTCTTTTTATCAATATTGGTTAAGAATGCATTTAATAAATGGGTTTTTGTGCAAAAAGCAATGATAGAAAAGTTAGTTAACTAAAATTTAAATTTTGTATAAAATGTAGTGAAGATAAAGCCCCTCCCCCCCCAAGTACAAAGATTCTTCTCCTGGTCACTCATTTTCAGACAAAAGAGAAACTTCTAGAAGCATAAATCCCAGCACTGAACAGTTTCCAGTCACGGAAACAGTTCACAGTAATTATTGACATCTAAATGACTATTTCAAAACATTCCCTCAGCATATATGTTCTGAATGCCTTGAAAAATGTCACTGGGTTTGGAAGTGGAAAGGTTGAAAGGAAATGGATCAAATCCAAGAATAGTTGATGCTGCCCACAGAAACTTGGAAAGCTCCTAGGGACATTCCAAATTCTTTTAAGGTTCCTGGCCATCAAAGGAGCTAGAGCACCTTTGTTTAAATGATGCACCACGTTCGCATCCACTGCCCATAACGTCTGCATTTGTGTCTCAGTGGCTTGATTAACGTTTCCACCAGACTAGCAAGGGATTAAGGTCCTGGTGGCTTATTGGAAGGGAAATGTGCTGCTGTTCTTTTGGCTCCTCCCTGACTGAGACTGGTATGTTTGGAATCTGTGGAAGAAGGTAGGAAAATTGGAAAGCAGAAGCACTGAGCCAGCCAGAACCTGCCAAGGGCTCTGGTGGATCTCATTGGCTACTTTCTTTCCCGGGAGAATTTAAGTTTTTTTTTTCCCCCTTTTCTGTTTAGAAATTTATAATATATCCCATGGAAACTGTAAGAAGACTTAATATTTTTGAGTAGAAAGAGCATGATTTCTTAGTTGCTCGTATGTTGTAAGAAAACAGGAGAAAACAAAATTAATCTGGATAAATATATTAACACTAAAAATATTTTTAGGACACTAGTGCTGCAAAGTCACGACTGAGCCCTTTGTTACTTCTACAGTAGGGTGAGAGCAAAGGGAACTTCATTAATGGCTCCTCCGACCTGTATTGCAAGTCTGTAAGCAGTGCCACACCACAAAAGCATACAGACTGCACTCCCTACTAGTAATACAATCTCTATCCTTGATAAACTCTACATTTGGTTGGAGGAAAGGAATTATGTAGACACAAGACATTCTATATATGGAACCAAATTAATGACATAGATCTTGGCTACCAACCAGATAAGGAAGAGTTGATCCAGGTAGGCTTTGTGGAGGTCTGAGGCTCAGCTGTGGTGGGCAGGAGATCTGAAATACAGATAGAGGTAAGGGCATCTGAGATAGGACTGGAACTGTGAGCACGGACAGAGATTGGAATGTACATTGTGCACCCAAGGAATCAGGGTGCCAAGTGAAATACAGGATGCCCAGTGAAATGTGAATTTCAGGTAAACAGCAATTGCATTTTAGTATAAGCGTGTCCTATTGCCTGGAGGTATGAGGCCTACTGCCTGGGACATACTTGTCCCAAAACATTATTTGTTATTTATTTGAAATTCACTTTGCACTGGGTGTTCTGCACCTTTATTTTCTATAACTGGCAGCCCCATTGGATAACTGAGTCAATCAGCTTGACTGAGGAACAAGCATGCAGAGCCAGTGAGAAGTTTCTGCAGGAGGTTGGGGTCAGACTATGGTGTGACTATAACACCACACTAAGGAGCTTAGAATCTAATTTAAAGATGCCATGGAATCACCAAGAGTTTTGAAAAAGGAAATGGCTTGATAAGATCTGCCCACTGAGGCAGAACTTGCTGGGATAAGGAAAACAGGTCACTGAGGCCCTGTGCTGACGAAAACAGAGAGGAAGAAACCAGTTGGAGACACATTAGGGAACAAATTTACCTGCTTTGAAAACTAACTGGAAGCTGGGCACAGTGGCATACTGCCTGTGATCCCAGCCACTTGAGGGGCTGACACAGGAATCACAAGTTCAAGTTCAAGGTCTGCCTCAGCAATTTAGCATGATCCTGTCTCAAAAGAGAGAGTGGGGAGGGGAGGGAGAGAGAGATGGAGATGAAAACTAGTTGTTTATGGCTATTAGAAGGAGAGGGCATGCTAAAGAGGGCTGCATTTTTTTTCGGCCCCTCCAAAGCAACAGCTAATCAAAGAGCCAGATGCCAGTCAGGGAGTTAGTAAAGGAGATGGGGAATTAGGTCACAGACATATTAAATTTAAGGTGATGAAGAAATAGTTGGGTAGAAATCGTAGACTGACAGTTGGAAATGGGAAATGGCTTAGGAGGGAGGTAAGGCAATAATAAAAGCTAACCTATGTCAAGGTTTTTGTCATCACTATCTTATTTAATGCTTGCAGCCACCTATGAGTGTGCTTGCCACAGTTTTATAGGTGAAAACTCTGAAGTTCATAGAGTATAAGTAACTTGTCTATGATTTGGGATTGCATAGCTAGTGAGAGAGATAAAAGAAGATGGAAATTGGGTACATATGCAGCTGAAACCCATGCATCTGCTAATTCCCATCCAGATGTTCAGTATCTTGTTCTGGACTAACTTTCCCCATCAGAAAAATTCTAAGGGCACCAATTTTTCATGCTATAATCCAATTTTTGGGGGTGGTGGTGCTGGGGATTGAACTCAGGGCCTTGTGCATGTAGCTACAACGTGAGCTACAACTCCAGCCTCTATAACCCAATTTTTAACTAAGTTCTTGTCTATTATTGTTCCTATCTTTGGTAACCCTCATAAAACTACTTTTTGGTTAAGCTCTCTGAAGAAATGGGAATAGTTTGTACACAGAGGTTTTATTTCTTTTTTATTTCCCTATTCATTTATTACTTAAATTCTTTTCCCTTCACTGTCTCATTTTCCATTTTTCCTTGGTTGTCTGTGAAAATAAATATAGAAGAGACCAAGGTTGTTAATTGCCTCTCCCTGTTGGTGGCTGCCCCCTAGTGACAGCTCTTCAGCTAACATCGTTCAGCTGGGGCGATAACACAGCGAGGTACCAAAAAACAGGCTCCTTGGGAATCCCTAAAATAGAACAAGAGTTCACAGAATCTCATCAGAATCAGCTTTGGACTCTCAGATGGTTTGGAGACTACTTATGCTAGGAGATTCTGGAAAAAGACTTTGTGGAATTACATATACCCTTGCAGCTGCCTAGCCTGAGGGCCTTTTGAATAGACCAGTTTTAGATTTATCTTAAACTTTCTAATTATTAAAAGTGTTTCATTTGTTTACCCTTTTAAAAAGGCATGTGGGGGACAAAGCTCAGTGGTAGAGCATTTGACTAGCATATGTAAGCCTTGAGTTCCATCCCCGGCATGCCCAAAACACAAACAGAAAACCAGTATATATATTATGCTTGGTCATTAAACTTTTAATGCAAATATGGCACTTGCCTACCATGGACAAAGTCCTGGGTTCAGCCTCCAGAACCATACACACAAAAAATTCCAGGATCTTTTATTCTATATATTGACTTCAAAATTTTCAATATATTTTTAAAATAAAAAGTAAATGCTCTATCTTTTAGCAATCTATCTGAAGGAAAGAATCATAGATTCTGGGGAAAAAAAGTGTGTAAAAGAATCTTTATTTGTAACAGATTTTGTAAATAACCTGTATATAAATAAGGGAACTGTTAAACAATATTCCAATATATGGAATTTCATACAGCCATTAAATTATATTAGGCATTAAATGGTGCTGAGAAGGGTTAATAGGTAATGTTAAGTGAAAAGGGAAAGGTTACAAAGTTATAGCCACAGTATGCTCGCATTTGCTTACATAAGAGCTAAAATTCATTTAACAAAAGGTTAACAATAGCACTTTATGGTTAGTGGGCTCATAATAACTTTTATTTTCCACTTTGTCTCTAGGATAAACTAATATCTACCACTTTCTAATCAGGAACAAAAAGCAGTATGTTTTTAAAAAGTGGAGATTGAAGTCTCTGTTCCAGTTTCTTGCTGTCGTGGCTATAATATGTTTGTGCTAATTCAGCGTCATTTATGGCCTCCTTGCCCAGTAAAGAGCTATATCCTGTTTGTGACAGCATAATTTATTGTCATGGAAAAGATCATGATGCACTGGCCTCATTTGTGACTTCATTGCATTCATTGGCAACAGGAAACAAAGACACGCACACTTTTTTTTTTTCATAATTGTTTTAGTAATAATTGACAATTGGAGGAAATGAATGGCAGAAAACAATTATGGGCAGACAAGATGGTCAGCAAATCAGACTGGGAAACGCAATGGAGCCAGACTCAGCTTTATTCAAGCAATGATTTTAGAACATTACAAAGATATTATTGTTTTGTTCTCAATCTACTCCTGAAATCACTATTGTTTTTACCAGCAGTTACACAATTTTTTTGCTGGCAGCCATAACCTCCAATATGTTTTTAATTCAGTAATCCGGTAATCCCACATCAGGGGTTTGGTGCTGAATTTTTTATGTTTATTACTATCTAGGGTCAGTGTGAACTCCTCCCTGTGCACATGTCCAGCAATGATATTCAGGGATTTTGCTGTAATTTTCCTGCCTCGGACTAGCTGCCCTGGTGCTGGGACCTCAATTCTTAAAAGTTTTATTTTTCATTCAACTTTAAACAATCAAATTCATGTTTCTATTTCTGTGAATTGATCCCTAGTCTCCATTTTAGCAGCAGTAAACAGGGGGAGAAAAAAATAATAAACACTCCAAACAAATAAATTTATGATTTGCTGTCTATTTTTCTCATGCCATGAAATGGGCATAATTAATAACTTCTTAGATGAAAATAAGGAATATATAATCAAACAGGAAAGAGTGAAGTAAGATAGCTATTAGACTGTATCCTAATCTTGTGTCTATTTATTCTGTTGTAGTACCATTTCTCTCTTCTATGGCTTATGTCCATAGTTATTGTTGGGCACTATGAAAATTCTGTGGACAGGGGAACTAAACATGCATAACTGTTTTAATCTTCTCCAAGTAATATTCACCTCTGATTGATCTGGTTTGGAGTAAATTCTGTAGCAGTTCTGACTTCAAATCTTAAAAACTAGTTGCTGGTCATGCTATTATTGTGGAGGCCTTAGACCAGTACTGTCCAAAAGAAATAGAAGGGGAGTCACAAATGTGAGATACATGATTCTTCTTACATTTATTTGTTAGTGACCATGCTAAAAAAAACCAAAAACCAGGCAAAATGAATTTTTTTAAATGTAGTGATAATATAGTTTACTTAAGCAAATATATTCTTTTTTATATATTAACTTAAAATTGTTTTCTTAGTTAGTTATACATGACAGCAAAATGCATTTTGTTCCCCAAATATATTCTTAGCATTACCATTTTAATGTGTAATCAATATAAAAATTATTGAGATATTTTACATTCCCTTTTTGATACCAAATATTTGAAATCCTGTAATGCTTGTTACACATCTCAGTTCAGAATAGCCTCATTTCAAGTGCTTAGTGGCTTCAAGTGGCTTATGGCCACTGTACTGGCCAGTGCAAATTTAAACAGAAGAGCTACGGTGCTATCCACAGATGCATGCATACATAACAACTGAAATTGGGGCTGTGAGGTCTGCCATGCAAGAGTCACAGACTCCTGCATTCTGCTATACTGAGCTGACGTCTGGAAGTGTTTGAAGCTTAGTTTATTAGGACAATCTGATTGTTCATTTAGGGCAGGTAACTACAGATTCCTCACTTGAAAAGAAGAGCCAGAGACTTTTTAAAAAATCCCCAAATTTTGAAATGTGAGTTACATGTTTGTAAGAGACTTTAGTTTATTATCATATTTCTAAGTGCAAATTCACTTAAAGCAATAGATTCCGTTATACAGTGTAAAATGAACTTCTAGAAAGCCTAATAGAGTTCACGCTCTTATTGCTGCATAAAACTTAGTGCAAAGAAAGCTCTTTAGCAACTGAAGCACTCTGTCTTGTTGTGGCCACTTGCTGCTGTCCCTTCTGCATTTTGCATGGTTTTACTTGAAGGGTAGGAAGCATGCTTCAATAATCTTGTGTAACTACTATGCCCTGGGGACTCTCATGCCAGTCAGCTGGGGTGATGAAGAAAGCACTGTGTGCTAAATGTGGAGACACAAAAATAGAACTGGTGGAAGTGGACAAAACCAGAAGATGCTATACGTTCTTGTGGCTCCACCAGTGGCCCGGACCTGGAAATGCAGGCCTCTGAAGTCCTGGCAAGGAGTTGCAGCCAACTGGAACAATCGTGTTTTGGGTTCATTTCTTACTCTACGAGGGTTTGATTATGAAGCTAG